ACCAATTTAATGTATTTCTTACCAATGCATATTAATTATAATATTGGTTTGGTATTTGTAACCAAATTTGTCAGAAACAAATATTTATTTACTATAATCTCGAATTTTTTTTCAGTGTACAAACAATTTTTTCACTCAAAAACTGAAGTGAGTGGAGACTGTGGAGAGTTGAAATTTTGAGGACTTTTTCTTGCTTTGTGCATTGAATTTTCCAGATTGCAGGTGGATTAATAGAGATGGTGTTTGTAATCCACCTGCAATCCAATGCACGGGCTACGTTAATCACCCTGTCTGTATATACATGAACAATTTTTTCTGCTGCTGTGTTATTGTTTTCAGGTGAGCCCCCCTTTAAACAAACAGAATCCAGAAGTCGTCGGATGACTCTAAGAGTCTATAATAAGAATCTTCTTCTAGACGGATTTTTGACAAAGGTAAGTGTAAGTACATATTCATCAATTTCCCATTTTATTATTTTTTACTGAAAAAGTTTGAAATTTTAGTCTGATGATCTCCTAACTTTCCTCTTTTTCCCTCTAGTAGTTTTCCAGAAAAAATTAAATTGTATAAAAGTGCATTTTCGTTTGATATCCATAAAAATTGTGTCACTTCTATTTCTTAGGTAAGCCGTTACCCAATAAAGTCCAGAATCATTCTGAGCCCAAGTAGAATATTAGGCTATTAATCATTTCTGCTGTGGGATCACGAAACTAGATATCCGTTTAAAGTTTGTCACCTTTGATCGAAAATCGAAAGGAGTTGTTCATGACATTCGACTGATCGATTTATTTCGATCGAAATGCCTCGATAGGTTCGGAGGTCTCGGATTAGGTTAAATTTTATCAATATATCGTGAAAATCTCATATCCAGGCTATTTGGCAAAGACAAGGAAATAGGCGTCGTCGCCAAAAACTTGAGCTTGTTCCTTGTTCGGCGAAGACAAATTTTAAGGTACAAGCAAGAAACCTTTTCCAGAGGCAAGATTTGTAGATTATTTCATCTTAATAAACGACAACTGCAGAACTCATACAATTGATACGACCATATGTACCAGAGAGAATTTTTGCTAGGGTAGTTACTCTAGAAAACATGGTGCTATGTATGTACTTTAAGATTTCATGCCACAGGCTTTTATCAGAGATGCATTGATGTCTAGTGAAAGGTATAATTTTGAGCCCAAGTTTATTGTTGAACTTTGAAATAATTAAAATTGGAACTTTACAAAACACAAAACAAAGATTAAAATAATCAAAAAAGCGAGATCGCTTTCAATTCAAAGTGCGTAACTTTAGCAACAATCGAATAAACTCGATTTCCAACTCGATCGAGTTTCGTGAACAATCCACTCGACTCGATCATCGTTTGACTCGATATAATCGAATCGAACCTCGTGATCCCGATGCTGGTAAAAATCCTAATTGTGGTTTGTAAGTGCAAGGTAATAGTACATTTTTCATATATACAATAGAACCTCGATTATCCGAGCTCTGGATTAATCGAGCTAGTCTAAAGACCCAAAAATCCGAGGTCGATCCATACTCCGTATTAACCGAGTTTCTAGAATATACCATACAAAGTATAAAAGTTCTGAGACCTATTTAGCCCTTAGACTGATAGGTACCCCAGAAAATAACTTCTGTTTATAACTGGCCAGTCACGAATATTTACCTACACTCTTCATAGGTAGGTATACATATATGTACATTCGGATTATCCGAGTTTTCAGTTATCCGAGGTCCACGTTACTTTGGATAACCGGGATTCTATTGTACCTACCTACATTAGTGCTTTAGTATTTTGGGTGTTGGATATTGGAAGCTGAATAAATAAGTAATTTTTAATATAAAACATTGAATTTTCACTAACATATAAAGTTGTTTTTCCAGACATCCCTTTTCCAAATTTTGAGCCATGAAGTGATGAGCTGGTTATGGTCATGGATATGATACAAATGGATCAATAAAGGCTAAGTTTATCATTACTTTGGACATTGTATAGCCACTCTAGACATGGGACAAATAACTAGGATTTGTGGACATTGAAACCAATGACTGACAATGGTAGACGTAGCCACAACCGACTGGACAATGATGGACATGACTGCCTGGATCCAAACTTTTATTACTTTTCTCTTCCAGGTGAAATTACATAGGTGTCAATTCCCGAAAAACAGTTCATGATTCGACTGAATCTTTAAAGCAGGGAAGCCCCTGGGGAGCCTAATGCCATAGTTGTCCTGGACCTCATTTGTTGCACTAAATATACACCGTAAGCATGGTAAGTGTTTGCAGTGGTGCCTTCCTAGCTGGCGAGTGAAGGTTGAATTAATGGATAGTTGACGGTTCTGGCTGTACAAGTGTAATTTCAAAGTGCATTACCTAACGGGGAAAGCACTTGAAAAAAAAAACGCACCGACAGCTCGTACCTCTAGGGTGGTGTGGAAATTGGGCTTGAAGTTACAATTTTGAAACTTAACAAGGTAAGTTATTGAAAATAAAACTTTCTTTATTAAAATTATAAACTTTTTGTTATGGGGCAGCACTAATAACCGAGAGTTTTAAGCTTAAATCTGCAAGACTTGTGACTGGAATCCAGAATTATATGAAGTCATGGTAAAAATCCTGGTAAGTTTTTTTCATTTTGGACATTGGAATCAGACCTATTTCCAAAATTCGGGAAAAGATGGCTTTTCAATGTTTCAAGTTTGAGTTAATTTTTTCAGGAAAAAAAATTCTCAGATCAACTTCCAACTTCCAGAAACAAAATTCAAGTTTGAAAAATTTGTTTTCATGATTTATATACCTAGCTTTTTTGATCTATTTTGGCTTTGGAAGTTGTGTTTTTGAACAATGAAAGGGCAATTTTAGTTTAGAGTTTCCAGACTGTGAAATTCGAAATTTGAAATTTTCCGATTGATTTTTTATTACTTACATTCATTTCACTATATTATGTATGTACAAGATTATCCAACAAAAGTGCTTTCTACCTTATATACCTGTTATAATTGAAGAGGTAATATCTCAATATCCATAAGAGGTATCGTGCCAAATTTTTCTGAGATTGTAGCTCTTACTGAATGCTTTGATGTGGTTTTTGAGAAATATTTGTATCATCAGTGGTTTTTCAGCAATTTCAACTTGAAGTTTTGGATGAAATTTAGGCAAAATTCCAACTTTGAGAGTGAAATTTCATCGTTTTATGATGGAACATACATCAATACTCTGTTTGGCCATTTCTCCTCCTCCATTCTCATAATGTACGTGCCCATACCATATGAGCTGTAGAGTGTCTATTCCTCTCGGTGGTTCTAAATATATATTCTCTCTGTTCTACTTTGAATTTCAGCGTTCTGTATATGCTCCAGTCTTGAAACTGTACATGCCCGTATGGAAAAGTATCTAGCATCTATCTACTGCATCTGCTTTTCTTTTATTTCGTTCCATTACCAGTCAGCATATAGCTCCGGACGAATATATCGGCTCTACAATTGCTCTGTAGATTGTCTTTTTTGTTTTTATCTAAATCCGGACTACTCTAGAGCAAAGAATTCAGAATGTTAACGCATTTTTTCTACCGCATTGTGTTACTGTGTATTATTAAAATCTCGCTCTGATGTTCCTTTTGTTGATATCAAGCTTCCCAGTATTATAGATTATACGTAAGTACTCCTCAAACTTTTTCAGATCTCTTGAGCTAAGATTTGGGTTTTCATTATCATCTCCAATACAACGATATTCTCTCCTGCTTCAATTTATTTTCATTCCTCACTATTCATATTCCTCCCACGTTTTCTGTAAGTACATGTAATGAAGGTCCTCCTTCACAGCTAGATATTACTACTATCGTCTGCAAAAAATAGTGTGAACAAGTAAATTCTCCCACTTCTATTTCCATACCAGAGCACTTATTTCTCCAGTTCTTCAAGGCCTCCTGAATGTATATATTGAACAGTGTATAGGTGATAAACAGCCACTTTGCTTTAGTCTTTTTGTAATTTTGAAACTTCTTGAAGAAGAATTCTACTTTAACTATACTCACTTTGCAAGTTTTTCTGAATGTTTTATTCTTTACTGAGGTTAGTCTTTATTAAAAATTCGATTTTTCTCAAGGGCACTTTATCGTAAGCCTTCTCGAAGTCTACAAATATTAGGTGTGTGGACAAATTTCGAGCTTTTCTTTTTTCTATGATTTGTTGTACCTAATGTGAAAGTGCCATCCATGCATGAAAGTCTCACACACGAAAGCCATTCTGCTCTTCTATGTCTGAAAATTCCATTCCAATTTTTCTTTTCAAAATATGGCTGTACATACAGCCTTCCCAAAGAACTAATCACACTTGGGTTTTTTTCTAGTTTTCATAAGTTTTTCAATCTTTTTTTTTTGTGGATGGAACTTATGTGTGAGATATTCGAGAGTATGCCCGTTTAGTAACAGATTGTATTTATCTGCTAGAATTTCCATCGTGATCTCTGGCGCACATTTGTCTAGCTCGATAGGAATGTTTTTTTCCTTTTTCGCCGTAACTTCATCTTTCCCTTGAATTGTTTTCTTTCCTCTTTCAGCAGTTTCTTGTAGTGTTCAGTTGATTCTTCCATAGATATTATCTGGACATTCGCTGCGTCATTTCTACCTTTCCTCGCGTTCTTTTATTTTATAACTTTCCATGCTGCTGCCACCCTTGAACCTCCCAAAAAATCTTTCGATCCCATGTTTTTCTGCTTTGCGACCTTTTTCTTAACGTTACTATCTGGTAAGCTACCTTTTTGGCTTTTGTTAGCTAGTCTTTGTAGGTCTTCTGACCACCATTAAGGATTGTGTTTGTTCATTTTGTCTTAAATTACGACTTGGATAAGAATATTCTGTCCAATATAGATAACAGACGTAATTAATTTAACCCCAGGAAGTTTTATGGAAGTTATCATCAGAGTTTCTCGATTTGCTGAAGTACAAAACTCTATGGAATTTGAAGTTGATTAAATAAAACTCAAAAAACTGATTTTAAACATTTATTCAAAGTCCTATTACTAGTACAAACTAAATTTAACAATCAAAAAGGCATCTAACTTTCAGTTTTTCAATTTTTAAATTCAGTTTGACTCTCGCACAGTATATTTCCGGTACGTTTCGATAAAACGTCACAATTCTATTTTCCAACAAATTTTTGTTTCGCGTGAGATCAATCTTTCGACTTTATTATTTGCAGTAATAACTAATGACTGAAAAAAATAACTAAAAAAAGATTCTTGATTCTTATTGATCAATTCCGCGTGCCGACTGCAAACTAATAGAGCCAAAGAAAGTCTAGATATTATTTTGATAAAGACTTACTTAAAATACTAAAGAGTCCTAAATACACAATTTATAATATTTTATGAAATTTATGTACAATAGTTGAACCTCAATGTTGAACTTATCAATCTATATACAATTAGGGTCAAAAAGTATTAGGACTGAATATGTGTGGCGTTGTTGCCATATAACTTAATTTTGTACTTAAAAAACCTGCTATAGTGTAAAGGGATATGAAAACTGATTAATTGTTATCAAAATATATAATTTTATTACATATTTAAAAAAGTATTAATTGAATTATCCCCCATCATAATCTTAACTTTTACATGACAAGATTTGATAGTTTATTTATTCATCAATGGGCCTTGACCCTTCCAATAATCAATTCCTTTAAATGCAAAGAAAATTGATATAATTATTTACGTAAATTGCACATTCCCTAAATTTCAGACAATTGTTTGACAATATTCCAGATACTTTTTGGCCATTGTATATATGTTGGTAGAATCTAAAATAAACATTAATTCTAAAAAACAAAAGAGTCGTTGCCTGTGAGGAACCAAAAATCCTAAATAAGTATTTACACTAAAAAAAGATAATACATAATAATTAAACTGTATTTTAGTTAAAAAGGGAAAGGACAATCACTTTGTAACTTGAAAATTGATTTTTTTTTTTTGGAACTTACTGGTAAAAATATGGTCTATTAATGTAACTGTTTATATTAGCTAGTACTTTATTGAGATCGACGATAAAAACAGAAAACCACCTCCAAAATTCCACTATACTTATCAATTTAAATTAGAGATCAACTATAGAGAGAATCATTGGCGGTGGACATATCAATTTGGTTTTCTGTTACCTGTTCCTATTATTTATAAATATTTTTTTCTTCAATTCACATTTATAATGATTAGTTTTCACTATTTTTCTTTAATACTTATCTAGATCAGCACAAATAAGAAAATTTCATAGAGTGGTGATTCTAGACAGTATCTATATTGCAATTTTAAAATAGTACATTGAAACAGTGACATTTTACTAAAATATTAGAGCATACATTCTACAAGTTTAGTAAATCACTGTTCAGAGCATGCACTGTTTTTTTTTTCTCACTACTACACGGGATTATTATTGACATGACAACGTTTATAAGCTGTGAAGTAAACCAAAAACAGAACGAATGAGAAAGAGAAGATAATCAAAAAAATATATACACGTATCAATTTTTCGAGTCCTTGAACTTGCGCCAGCGCGGCCTCCAGATTCAAGAAGTTATCACGATTCACCGTTACCGCTATCGTTATCGTCTTCATCGACGTAGTCGGAATCATCAGAGAACTCATCGTAGTCTTCGTCATAATCGTCATCGTAGAAATCTGGCATTTCAGCTTGAGACTCTGCATTGCTAGGTTTTACCTAAGAAAATTTGATATTAGTAAATCTTCAATTTAACCCTAATGATTCAACAATAATGTATATGAAATATTTTATTAGAGTATTAATATTCAAGATTGCTTACCTGAGTTTTTATACAATAATCTTCAAGAGTAAGTGGCACTTGAATTCCATCTCTTTCAGCTTCTACTCTGGCTGCCAATGCTTGTTTTCTAAACAATAAATTTTTATTTAGATGAGCTATCAATAAATTCAGTGAAAGTTAAGAATAAATAGATATTGAAGTAAGACATTCAATTTGTTACAAAAACAACCAATCCAGCAGTATCACCAGAGAAGTTATTAGGCATAAATTCGATCCAACAAAAATAAGTGTTTCTAAATTGTGCCGAGCAACAAGAGGTGCTGTAGTAATAAGTTGTGACAATTATTCTGTAGTTATAGTTATTCCGTTTCTTAAGAAACCAAAGCTCAAACTATTCAATATAGGTAGTGATGATGTTGACCCTGAAGATAATGGTGAAGTAATCATTAAAAAAGTAGTCATAGGCAATAGTTTGAGCAAAGTACCAAATCTCATATAAGAATTTAAAAAGTTTCTGCATTCATCGGGAGTAACGATTTTCAAAAATAATTTCTAGTCATCAGCAAAAAGAAGAAATGAAGAGTGTGGGAAACAAGAATAAATATCATTGATGGACAAGTTGAAGAGCAGTGGGCCTAAATGCGAGCCTTGAGGAACACCTGATGACACCAAAATTTGGGAAGAGGTAAAGTTGTTAATATGAATTATCTGTGACCTTCCTGATGACCTCTTTTTGAAGCCAAACTGCTCGGATATAATTTCGCTGCTTAAAGATGATGATAAAAATTTTGTGACAATATTCTCAAAGATTTTAGGAATTGCACTGATGATGCAAATTTGGCGATAATTAGTCACATCACATCTGATGAGTCACCGGATTTAAGAATCGGCACCACATAACTGGCTCTCCAATACTCAGGGAAGAAGCCGTCCCTCAGGGACTTGTTGTAAATTATATGCAACCCAACAAAACAAAACAGCAGTTTTTCAGAAAGAGCAAGTGGATATGGTCAGGCCCTAGTCCCTTTTTTGGGTCGATGTTATTTAGCTCCATGTAGATGTCAGAGATAGGAATAGTGAAATAAAATAAATTGTGAGAAGATAGAGAAAGTTGATCTGGGAAATCCAATACTTGATCAGTATAGACTGAACCAAAGTATTCGGCAGCTTGGGGACCCATAGCTGCCGACTCACCATTATGTCTAAAACTTGAAGGAGGCTTACTCGAGTTTTGTATAGATTTGGTATAGGATCAGAACTGTTTTGGGTCACGCTGCAATGCCGATTCAGTTTCATTCAGGTATTCACGAAAATTCTCCCTAGAGAGCAGATTGCACTGTGACCGCAAGTCAGGAAATGCCAGATAATCCGAAAGTGGGCGACTTTGTTTATATTTTTTGTGTAAGATTTTTTTCTATATAATGAGTACCTTCAAATCCTGTGAGAACCATTTGGGAAACCTTCCATTGGCTATTCTTTTAACAGGTACAAAGAGACCAAAGGCTTCATATGAAAAACTAAAGAATATTAATCATCTCATTCGCAGACTTGTTCAAAAGCAGCTCATCCCAGGAAATAGAGCCAAGAAAATAGTTTATGTCGTTGAAGTTTGAGGCTTTGAAGTCATAATAGTTTCCATCTCCTTGTGGATTTGAATTGCAGTGATTCTGTTGCAGTGTGGCTTGAAACAACAGGGGTGGATGGTTATTATCCAACGGAAGCAGGTAGTCATCTTCATCTGGCTGCATTATAGGGATCCTTGAGTGGCAGAATATCAAGTCAAGGGTGACATTATTGATATTATAAATGTTATTAAGCTGGTTTGTGAAAAGCACATACTACTGCAAGAGGTATGGCTCTATATATAGAGTTCGAAGAGAATGTGGCGAGAATGATATACAATTCATTAAAAAAAACAGGTTTTGAACGTCTACCAATCACAGCAAGGGAATTACCAACAGAGGAAAATAAGCTGGAATTGGATTGGTTTTCTTCGCTTTTCCTAGCCATACTGATGAGACCTGATATAGGTCGAAACGCGTCTATGGATGGAAAAGCGGAGAAAATTAATCCAAAAACTTTTCTCAAATAAGCTGGAATGTTTTGTTGTCACAGGACCTCTGCAGCAGAAGGACAGTATGTACAATCCAGACTTTTGGCCCAGATATGTGGGAGTCAAGAGGTTTGATTTCAGGAAACATAAGGGTTCTCTGGACTCCTGTGCTGGTGATTTTTCAGCCTAGGTCTAAATGGAATCGATTTTCCTAATAATGTTCCAGTTTTGGATTCCTTAGTTATCGTTAGTGATGGCAAATTACCGGTAATTTATAAATTGGTAAGAACAATAGATAAACTACGGTAATTTACGATAATTTTCAAAATACATACAGAAAAGTAACAGTGGAACTGACATATGTATATGGAGATTTCATTTTTGAGAATTTATAATAATAATTACATTGTTCTTAAATACTTGTCAAAGCAAAATTAACAATTTAATTTTTTCAAGGGTCGGTTGATTCACCTTCTGATAAACTGTCAGGTACCTATGCAATCTGACGGATAAAAACGCAGTCTCTAATCCCATTGGTCGTTTAGTTATCAGCAAGTTTATCTGAAGATGAATAAACCGAGCCTAAGAGAAAATAATAATTTACTTTTTTCCGAGCTACCCTTGATCTAAAAATTAAGTTTAATTAACAAAACGGTAGTCATATAAAGTTCATATAGCTTTGAAAATTTGAAAAAATTATTAAATGTAGGTCTGTTCCAACAGGTCAAAAACCAACCCATGAATGATTGGAAACTATTCTGTATATGAATTTCACATTCTATGCACAAATTTTGAGCTTTGAGCAGAATCGTAACGGTACATTCTACAGTTTCCTCTCGGGTTTCCTGCTGTGTTCTAACAAAGCTTATAACATAACTATAGCTTTGTTCCAACACGTTGAGAAACCATACAATGTATCGTCACGATTCTGCGCAAAGCCAAAAATGTATGCGTAGAACCCGAAATTCGTATATAGAGTGGTTTCGAAACCGTTCATAGGACGGTTTTTGACGTGTTGGAACAAACCTAATATCTATCAAACTATGCCTCCATCCCAGCCTGCTTCTTCCAAGTCGGTGAACGTTTCGGATTTTGCACAGCCTATTATGGCGTAATATTCCTAGAATATTACATGGAACCTTACTGAGAAAATTACCGTAAGTTACGAGTTTAAAATTATCGTTTTTGTAATATTACTTCCGAGGGCAAGGTAATATTATGGTAATTTACGTAATTTTACCGAAACTTCTCTCGGTAATATTCTCTCTTGCCGTCACTAGTTATCGCACACCTAAATGTTCAATGTATAAGGAATAAGTTAGGAAATTTGGAATCTTCAAATTTGAACGCAGATATTTTTTGTTTTAGCGAATACTGGTTACTTGATCATGATGCAATAGTCATGAAAATTATAAATTATAATGTTTCCTATTACTGTCGAAAAGAGCATTCTCATGGAGGAGTAGGGATTGCTATTGCTATTAAACAATCCTTGGCACACACTTTCAAAGGCAGAGATGACATAAATAGTCTATCGCAGGAAATGCATTGTGAGGTATGTGCAGTCCAATCAAATAAACTAAAACTTATTGTAATAACATACTACAGACCTCCAACTGGAAATTTTGAAGTTTTTTTAAATATTTTTGAACAAATCGTGCAAAAAATAAGATCAACAAGATATGATATTCTAATAAATGGAGACTTCAATGTTAACTTTCTGTCGCATGATAGTAAAGCAGTTTCTCTTTTGGATCTAATAAATACATTTGGTTTTTGTAAGATTATCTCTAAACCAACATGCGGAGGTTCATGCATCGACAATGTTTTTGTTAATTTTACAGTCTATTAGGGCATAGGGCATATACAAGGGATTTGAACATATCAGACCACTGGCTGTTTATGCAGAAATAACTTTAAAGCATTCATTAAAGAATTCAGAACAGGTTCATAAAAGCCGACCAATCACAGAGCAGGGCATTTTCAATCTGTATGGGTTAGTTGATTCCATGGATTGTGATTTTGTAAACTCGGGATTAATGTCAACTCAATGTCAATTCTCTCTTTTTGTCAACCTTCTCAAAAATAATATTGAATTAGCTTTTCCGGAAATTGAAATCACTTATAATAAAAAATACATTAAATGGTATAATGATAGTCTGCGCGAACAGAGAAAACTTTTGAAATTTGTTTCAGAAGCAGCCAAACAGAGGAATTGTCCTATTCTGACACAATAGGGTACTTGCATGGAAAATTAAATTGAGAATTTCATACATCTGTCAAAACTGGTATTCCAACAATAAATTGACATGTTTTGATTGTTGATTTGAACCAATCAGATTGTAATTACGCGATAATTTGCACTAGTGCAAATTATCAGATAATTGCATTCCAGAAGTTATTCAAATATCAAGTTTTGTGTTTATAGATATACTGAGCATGTGCAACGTCACTTATTTATTAGATAAGTGACGTCATAGGCAGATTTCATAGTGTTGTATCTCCGTCAATTTTTGACTAAGAAGAAAAAACACGTGTTGACTTATTTTTCATGGACTATCGAAATCAGCAATAAAAAAATTTGATGCCAGGAGCCTATTAAAACAGTCTCTAAAAAAAAATTACCAAATTTCCATACAAGAAGCCAAAAAAAAGGCTCATTTTTCCTATCTACAAATGCATAATTTTAACCCGAAAACGATATGGGAGTTGGTGAGAGAAAACTCTAATATCACAAAACAAAAATGCCTTCAAAACAGCGATTATTTCTCTCCAAATGACTATAATCTTTATTTTGCTAATATAGCAGCCCAAATTGTTAGTAACTTACCTACAGCTATTAATACTCCACGATATTATGTAAACAATTTTATCAAAAAAAAAATAGGTATATCCGACACAGTTTTCAATTTCACTCCCATATCAATTAATGAAGTTAGAGACATAGTGAAACAATTAAAAAACAAAAAAATCAAGGATTGTTATGGAATGAACTCTAAAATAATAAAATCACTTGTTAATATTATTATCTAGCCTCTGACGAAGCTGTTACATTTGTGTATAAGAGATGCAGTCTTTCCATCAGTTCTAAAAATATCTAGGGTTGTACCAATATTTAAAAAAGGTGAAATGGAAGATTTGAGTAATTACCATCCTATATCAATTGTCCTAGTTTTCTCCAAGATTTTCGAAAAAGCACTCAAAAATAGAATAACCAATTATTTTGACAGTCAGAATTTATTTAGTTCTAAGCAGTTTGGCTTCAAGAGTGGGAAATCTACTACTAGTGCTATCAATTTGTTCATAGAAAGGGGATTGAAAATGGGGAATATAGTGAGGTTCTGTTCTGTGATCTAAGCAAAGCCTTCGACTGTGTCTCCTCTGATCTCCTTCTGATAAAACTGCAACAATACAGATTTGCACCTGAAAGTATGGGCTTATTAGAGTCGTATCTTACAGCAAGGTCAGTGGTAAGCGTAGCGGATAAACGCTCATCCTCTACTAAACTAGAATTTTGTGTTCCTCAAGGGTCAGTGCTCGGACCACTGCTCTTCCTGATCTACATAAATGATTTGGAGGGGTGTGATATTGTTCGCTGATGATATGACTCTGATTAGAAAGCCCAAGGATTTTCAAACACTCAAGACGGAGTCTGGAGGAGACACAGTTGAGGGTAACTGATAGGTTCTCAGCGAATAAATTGAGTATGAATCAATCAAAAAATAGCACCCTGGTAATATCCACTAGGGAATTTGAATTACTACATAATGAGCCAGTTAAGTTCCTGGGGGTGAGTATTGACGCAAAGTTGATATGGATTCCTCATGTCAATAACATATGTGCCAAAGTGGCGTCAGGAGTCTATGCACTCAGAACAATGATGGAGACTGTTTCCGAGCAAGCAGCACGGGCCATCTTTTTTGCTTGTGTCCAGTCAAAAATATCACATGAAATTCTGGTCTGGGGACATTTAGCAGAAGCGCAAAGAATGTTTGCTCTCGAATATTATGTCATAGAACTTATCGAGCGGAGTGTAGGAATGACTTTGTGAAATCAAAGGTATTAAAGGGGGTGTGCGCCAAAAATTAAAGTGTTAGTGTAAAAAAATCTAAGAATAACTGTTCAAACCTCGTTATTCTACGATAAACCATCGCTGAGATATACCGCTTTAAAGTGTGGACGACGCTCTCGTGACGTCACGAGAACTTCGTCCAGCCGCGCTCCGCATTGTTAATTTGATTGTTCCCGGCACGCGTGAGTGGTTTTTGTTTAGATTATTGCAGGTAGCACAGGAAAAACATTATGTAAATTTAATTAAGTCCACTTTCTCGTGCGTCGCTTGAGCTTTCGTGACGTCATAGGGTGAGATGCGGTACATTCATAGAGCCATATCTGCGGTATTATTTATCGTAGAGGGGTACAGATTTCACTGTTATTCTTAGATTTTTTTTCTCTTTTTTTTGAGATGAAGTTGTTTTTTTGGCGCCCCCTTTAACGGTGCCCTCCTTATATGTCTATCATTGTCTGATTCATGTCACGTGTAATGTCAATGACTACCAGCCAGACCCATGAGAACATACATAAACATCTCACCAGGAATGGGGACAACCTCCATACAAACTACCATAGAATACATAAAATAAAAACGGGAATTTCCTCCTATGGCCCCATATTCTATAATGTGTTGCCAACATCCATTAGAATGCTAAATTTGAATTGTTTCAAAAATAAAATTAAAAATTATTTAATTAAGAAAGCTTTTTTTAGTATAGAGGAATATTCCACCAACAATTTTAATGATTTAGAGAATTGTTAGTTATTCATGTTCTGTATTATGTCACAATTTAGTTGCTAGCATTGTTTGTATAACATCCTGAAAATTGTCGCTACTATATCTTTGATCTGTGTAAACTTTGTAACGTAATGCACCAATAACTGATTATTATTATCATATTTGGTATTTTATTGATCTCAGTAGGAGCAATGTAACCCTCTATATTATGGTGAGTCACCGAACAGATGTCTTCTAAAGTCCAGCTGGCTTTGGGGAGATTGAAATCCCCCATGATGCAACTTTCAGTATGGTTGAATTGTTCAGAGATATCTTCCAAGTTGTTACTAAAGCTTTTTGGTGGAAGGTATACGCAGCCCAGGACCATTTTTTTTTCTACCACTGCCTACAACGACAAAAACTTGCTCGATGTCACCTGTTGCACCAATGAGATGGGACGGTATTGACTGATGAACAGCGATCAGGACACCACCAAGGCGCTCAGCAGTGCTGGTAGCTCTTGAGCGAACACAGCGAAACACGTATGAATCAAAACCAAACTCGGCAGTGTAAACGTTTTCACTTAAACCAGTTTCAATAAAGGCCACTATTTGATAGTTATTCACAGCTATATTGCAATAAAGTTTGTCCAGCTTTATTCTCAGACCGCGAACATTCTGGTAGTATATGCCATAACTTACTGGTTTTCTTCTACGTTCTGCGGTGTGTTTGGCGCTGCTGAGGCTTGACCCCTCGGGGGGTTTTTTGGCAAGATTCGAGGAATGCTCTTGACAAGTTTAACTCGTAAGTTCTGCTCACCCTGATCCTGGCGTCTTTTCAGATCCTCCAACGCTGTTCTTTCAAGTTCTCTCTGTCTAAGTGTCAAGTCACACTTTATGTAGATTTGTTTCCCTTGAGCTTATGTCGATTGCGAAGCGCAGTCTGAACTTCATATGGTGATCCCAATACAGCTCTCATAGGGTATGCATTATTTGAGTTGGGCTTGCCAAAGCGAGTTACCCGATAAAGCGTAAATTGAGTGCCAACCAGTAACTGTAGCAAGCAGCTCTGAAGAATCATCTTCTGACGCAGATAAGTTGAAGAGTAGTAAATTATTAGCTTTACCCTGATGGTCATGAAGTTCAGTTAGCAAATCAATAGATGGAGTGGAAGGTGGTGGTGAAGTCGTTGAAGGTACCTGTTGGGTCAGTGTATTTGTGGTAATGGATTCCAAGCGAGTGATTCTTTCCTCAATAGAGGTTGTAGCGGCGACCACAGACTCTTGAATTAAGGTTAGTAAGTTATTTTGTAGATCCTCAAGGGATTTTTCAAGTTGTTCCACACGATCCATTAGGCCCAGTATTTGCTTCACATTAGCCAAGCATAATTTGCAGTAGAATGGAAAAGCTAGTTTTGAAAGAACTATGGCTCTAATTTCAGTTGGGACAGTAATGTCCCCAGAAGTTTGGTATGTTACCTTTTTGCAGTGGTCGCAGGGATATCCAAAGAGTTCGTTTTTCGATTTATTGGGTTCTTTAAAAATGACTGCTGCAACAGGTGCTGCATGAACCGGACATTTTAGGTTATCCCATTAATTCACAAACGGACACAAGTACTCAGACAAAACACTGGCGTGTGATATTTGCATTCTGCAGGAGATAATGAAAAGACAAAACTTTTGAAATTTTACTTGCTGTTTGTAAACATTGAATAACAAGAAAAAAGTCAACAGTACCTGTACTATAGTCTAGATGGAACTACATAAAACCCTTCAGTCAAACGAATTTGAAGCTCTGGATGGCATTTCAATCCAGATGTTGAAGTTGGCTTTACCATTTCGTGGCCCAGCCAAAACTCATTTCTAATAAGCTGTCACTTACAAGGTGCATGGAAAAACTCAAAGATAATAACCCTTCAGAAAAAAAGAAAATATCTCAGGTTCATCAAATCTTCGCATCGGGATTTTTAGAATGGTACAGTACCAGCACGGCACTGTTGAAGATAAACGACAATATAATGATCTCTTTGAAAGACACGATATTATGGTTTTCAAGATATACCTTTGCAATGGTTTAAGAATTACTTGTTTAACAAACGCCAAACTGTCGAATTAAGGAGATATACAATTACCTGATAATGTTCTCATACTCCTTATCTCTTCCTTTAGATTCACGCCAACGTCTGTACATAACCGACGCATCCACATTGGCAGGACTATAAGTGTTGGGTTCGTTTAGCAGCGAAATGACAGAGAGCAGAATCGTCCTCACATTTTGGGTGGGGTTCCAACGTTCGCATGGCAACTCACCAGATTGTGGATCGTCGACTGGAGGATGAAGAATGCTGATGCATAAATCACCGTTCTGAAATTAAATTTTGCATTTACAACAAATTTCTAGAAATAAAACTTCAATAATAATAACAAATATAATACTGGGAAATGTTTATTTATTAAGAAAAGGTTATCTTTTTGTGGCCTCCCAATGATATACATACTTGTAGGAACATCAGTTTTATAAACAGTTTCAAGACAAAATGTTTAAAATTTTTGCTGCTTTTTTCTTTCCTACACTAGTGTTTAGTGGTACCATTAACGATCAAACATTTCAAAATGTAAAATTCAAAGGTTACAGTGTGTACACTTTAAAATTTACAACAACCATTGTGAGTTCGAATTCATTAAAAGAAAACGTACCAAAAAATCATGTTTACGACCATTTAGAATTCACAGACCAAAATATACCAGTTCTAAAGGAAAACTCTATAAGCGATTTAGAAGATTTAGATGAAATCACTATTGCAAGTTGTAAATTAAAAGAAATTGAACCTGGAGCGTTTAAAAATGTCGGTCTTCTCAGACAACTTTCTTTGAAAGATAATGAGCTTGAAGAAATTAGAAATGGTGTTTTTAATAATTTAGGCCTTGTCGCTTTGGATCTCAGCAACAACAGAATTAAGCATATTGAAGCTGATGCTTTAAGTTATCTGCCTAGATTGTTGAATATAAATTTGGCTGATAATCTAATCAAATCCTGGGACAAAAGGTACCTATTATTATTAACTTCAGTAAAATCTTATTTAAATTTGTAATTTTTAGATGGTTTTACAAGTGTCCACTTTTAACACGCATCTCTATGCAAAACAATTCTATCGAAAAACTAGCTGCTGAAGGTTTCAGCAATCTTAATGGAAACAAAAAATTTGGATCAGTAAAACTTACCATGAATCTAATATTCAGCTATAATAAAATAAGAGAAATTGATGACAATGCGTTCACAGGGCTTGGGGCGATCAACAATTTGTGGTTGGACAACAACCAACTGACGGAATTTCCTGATACACTTTTGGAACATGTCGAAGTGCAAGATTTAAGGCTAGAGCATAATAATATCACATGTCTTAATGGTGGGTATGAATTATTTCTCTTCAAACAGTAAATATTATTTTTTAGGTGATCTGAATCAAATAATCAAAGCTGAAACCAGCCACATGGACGGCAATCCCTTTGATTGCAATTGTCTAGAAAAAATGAAGACTTGGGCCAAAAAGCACAATAATATTGTCGATGTTTTTTATTCCGACATGAATTGTGTTGCTGATAAACTTAATAAGAGAATGACTGATTTGGAAAAACGTTTGAGGGAATTGAAAACTGATAGAGAAGTTGAGGAGCGGACTCAAGCTGGCGGTATTGAGGATGAAGTTGAAATAATGTTTAGAAAATAATTATATTGGGTTTATTTAATATAAGTACATATTATATCAATTAAGGGCATTTAAATTTTCAATTTATATTGATAGGGAAATTGATGACAGAGGTTGCAAGGGGCTGCAGTTCAAGTCGCTTCTTCAATCCTAGATAAATCCTGTTCCTTTGGGTTAGTTAGGCTAACCTTAACTTCACACCAGTAATATCTAAAATAGACTTGACTTGCTATATTAATAAGTTTGAGCTCATATTGACTGTGATTTATTTACATATACAGCGTTCATGTATTGCAAAATATCTCCTATGCTGGAATCATATCTGAATCATTAGATTCTAAGAATTATAGGAATTTGATGTTATTTTCTATGGCATGAATCATTATTAACTCTGAGAACCATATTATAGACGAAGCATATTCTATATTAAAAGCGCAAAAACCGGTCGGTCATCAGAGGACAGGGAAAAATTCGAGGAAAAATTCCAATGGATACAGTTGACAAGTTGGAAAAGTAATTTTCAGCCAAAAATACACACATTCTTTTTTACAAATTTCCAAATCGAATATTTTTATTTTTAACCATACCTCGAGATTGAAATTATTATCAGTGACTCATGTCATTGGCATTACTATACAGATTGGCAAAAAAGTTACGCATAATACCTGTAACTTTTTAATTACCTCGTATACGAAAAGGTGACCTTAAGGTTTAAAGTCAACCCCTATTTTCTGAACCTTGTGTTCAAAAATTCCAAAAAAAATATAAAATCTGTTTTTTTTTTTTAAAGATAATTCCCCAATTCAAAAATTTAGTAACTATGTTGGCAACACAAGCCTTTTCTACATAAAAATCTTGAAAGCATTGACAATTTTACATTGTATTGCCAACATAATGTCATTTTGACTTTTATCTTTAAAAAAAAAAAACGCACTTTATGTTTTATGGTTATCGATATACTTTATTCCATAATTTTTTTAAGCAAATTTGACTCGCCATTTTTGAGTTATATCGCAAAAACTGAAGAAAAAACTAGTTTTTCACCATTTATTTCAAAACGAATAGATGAAGTTTCCCATTATTTTTCTTACGAACTACTATTGCAATTCTACGCAACATATATTTTTTTCAAATTTTTTGAACTTGTAGTTTTCTCGCTACTGCAAAAATAGTTGGAAATGCGCCCGTAGCTACACTGTTTTAAAAAAAATCCGACGGATGAACGTTCAAAATTATTTGCGTTGGTCGAAACTACAACCCTGTTTATGTTGAACAGAATAATACTTCGAATTTCCGCCAAAAAAAGAAAAAACGTTACATCACACAATTTTACCAAATGAAGATTTCTATTTTTTTTTTGACAGTCAAGTTAGGGCACAGCATTGACATCTCGCGTTGCTGTAATAAACTATAGGCCTGACTTTAAACCTTAATGAAAGTTGCTTAGTAAATTATTTCCCACATTTCTACCTGGACAAATTGTTTCTGTCACTTCTGGTTTGTTTGCTATCCAGACCAACTTCGTTTTTTCAAATGAAACACCCTGTATGTGATTACATATTAGGATTCTACGTAAAATTCTGAACAGATTTCATGTAATATACCCTATACTTAAGTCGAGGGGTGTGACACTCCTGAAATCAGGTGTACACTTTGTTCAAAGTCACATAAATCAATAGAAATCATTGAAATCTATAAAATCAAGCGAAATCACATTAAATCCCTTAAAATCAATGAAATCTTGAGAGATCCCCTAAAATCATTTGAAATCAATGCATTCAATTATATCCGAAAAATCAATCGAAATCAAGAAAATCTCTGTAAATCACTGAAAATCATCACAAATCATATAAACTTAGTTGAAATCCTGAAATCGTTGTTTTCTAAAGCAGTGCCTAGAGCAGTGCCTCTACCAATAAAATATTCAAAATTCGCGCCTTTCATGTTTTGTTGTTTTCAAGATTGTTTAATTTTAGCCCAATTATTATGTCTTTACCGGGGTCTTTACACAATCAGTCACAGTCGCTCACAATCGTGACACAATCATTCACAATCATACACAATCATTCATAATCTTAGCAAATTTCTTTAAGGTGGCAACAGCACCCGCTGTTTCTTTGGTTGCCTATCTTTTAAAAAAGGGCTTTTTATGGATTATTTCCCAAAAATAAAAATAACCACGCTAAAAATTGAAAAATATAGGTAACTCTGAGGTACGAGTGATCGTTTCACTGTGAACGAGTAAAGTCCTTGCCAGTTTAAGAGCTCTCTGACCTTGGGCATTCTCACTAATTTTTTGTGGTCTACGTGTCTTTGGTAAGTTGAGCATCATATTTTTCAATTGCTTTTCGTATCACTCATTTGCTTGGAGTTTTCACTTATTTTTGCTTTGCTGTGGATAGCTTGATTGACCCCTGAAGGGGTCCTTGTAGAATGGCCGAGCTAGGGGGGGGGAGGGGACCCCCTGATTTTGTATCTCAAGAATCTCAAGATATTATTTCGCAAACCGGTGTTCAAGTTGACATTCCACAAAATTTCAATAAAGATATAAAAACTGAAATCTTTTACGATTCCGCTGATAAGGGACCTTTTATTGTATATTTGGAATCCACGGAAAAAGTGGGTTTCAATATTGGACGTGCCAATAATATTAAAATAGCTAGGGATATTTTCAATCTTCAATTGACAGATGTATTTAAAATTTCCAACAAGGGACTAAATAGGATATCAATCCAATTTACCACTTATAAAGCTGCAAATTCATTTCTGATTAATAAAGCTTTATTAGACAAAGGTTATAAATTATATATTCCTTTCAATTTTGTCACATCCAAGGGCATTGTTAGAAGAATCGACTTAGACTTAACTGAGGACGAGTTGTTAGAAGCTTGTGTAGCTAGCGATAATGTAAAAATATTGAATGTGAAAAGACTGTTGCTTTGCATTGCTTTTTGTCACACCTTAAATAGAGAGTCAAATATAACGTACGTTTGGAATAAGATTAAAAAATTCTCTAATAATGTTAAAAACAAAACTAAAGATTACATTATTAACGATAATATTAAACAAAATATTCTTTCACATATGGCAAAGATCAATATTGATCCTGGTTTTAATTTGATTCAACCATCGGAGGATAGTAATGTTCAACTTTTTAATATAAATGAATTTAATAATGCCTTGCAAAACAAAACAAAATTCAGCGCCTGGCATGGATGATATTACATATAGTATGTATAAAAACTTGCCATTTTTAGCTAAACAAGCATTAGTGAATTGTTACAATAGTTTTTTATTGGGAAATAATATTCCAAACTCCTGGAAAAAATTCAATTTGATTTGCTTTCTCAAACCTAATAGAGATCCAACGTTAGCAGACAATTATAGACCAATTGTCTTATCTTCATGTGGCTGTAAGCTTCTTGAAATTATGATTAAAAATCGATTGGAATGGGGGGTAGAAAATCAATCTTTTTTGAGTGTCCAACAGTCCGGTTTTAGGAAGGGAAGGGGTATAAATGACAATTTAACTTATTTATCGTCTTTTGTATTCAATGCATTTACCTTATCAAGCACGGTTCTTGCAGTTTTCTTAGATATTAAGTCTGCATACGATAATGTTAATATTTTCAAACTATATAATAAAATTTTAAATTTGAATATCCCTATAGAACTAAACAATCTTATTCACAAAGTTTTGCGTAACAGACTTTTATATACTAGGGGTGATGATGGTACTTTTTTGGGGCCCGTTATGGTTACCAATGGTATTCCTCAAGGTTCTCCATTAAGTGCTTTACTTTTTAATATATATATAGCAGATCTATTCAAAGTTAACTTAGAGGGAGTACGAGTGATAGGATATGCGGATGATTTGGCTCTTGTTATTAAGAGACATTAATTCGATGGTAGAAAAAATGAATTTCGCTATTCAAGTTGTAAATAATTATTTACAAGATAATGATTTGTCGTTGGCCTCTAACAAGTGCGAAGCGATGTGGTTTGCCAAAGGAAGAAGAAAAGTTGATCCTCCAAGGATCAAAATTAATGAACATTATATAGAATATAAGGACACGGTCAGATATCTGGGCGTTATTTTTCAGAAAAACCTCAAATGGTCCACCCATATAGATAATATGTCATATAAGGCAGGCAGAGCTTTGAATGTTTTAAAGGCTATCTGCAGGGTATGGTGGGGAGCTGATCCAGACATCGTATTAACAATCTTTCAGGCTCTTGTTGTTTCACAATTGGATTTCGGAGCAATTTTGCTGAATCCAGCCAGTCAAAGGGATCTTAACAAACTGGATAGAACTTTCTATGAGGGTCTGCGCATAAGTATGGGCTGCATGAGATCAACTCCTAGAGCTGCCCTGCTGGCAGAAGCATCAATTGTTGATTTGGAACAGAGAAGGAAGATCTTAACGGCTAAGTTTTTGTCCAGTCTGATTAGGATACAGAAACATCCGACTGTAAATCTCATTGTTGAGAGTCGGAGAAGGATATTACTTGAAAAGGGAGCTGTCACGGATGATAAGGTGACTTATTTAATATCAATATATCAACACTTCCTACCTTATCTTGATAAAATACACAAATCACCCAATCTGCCTTGTTATGAAATAGATTATTTAAATTTGATCTCTCCTCTGGAGATTATCAATTGTAATTTGCAAAAAGGTAAATCCATGATTAAAGAAAAATTTAATTTCGCGGTGGAGAAATTCCGTGACAATTATACATTCATATTTTCGGATGCTTCAAAAAAGGATGATAGGGCAGGTTATGGAATTTCTATCCCCGAGTTGAAATATAAGTTTTCTTGTAGGTTGAACAGTTTCCTGTGTATTTGTAGTGCTGAAATTATAGCGATTCATGAAGCAGTGAAAACGATAATCAATAAAAAAATTAAGAGAGCAATTGTCTTCACAGATTCTAAAAGCGCAATCCAAAAAATCAACAACAGTTTATATAATGCAAAAGCAGATTTATGGTCTCTTAGAACCAAACGTTTGATTTTAATGGCAAATCAACACAATTTTAACATAAAAATTTCATGGATACCCGGTCACTCCGATATTCCTGGTAATGTGGAAGCAGACACTCTGGCTAAAGTTGGTACAATACTTACTGTCCCGCAAAAAACAAGAATTGATTCCTATGAAATATATAATATAATTAAATCTAACTTGAAAGAACAGTTCATCGGAAGATGGGCACGTTGGGTAAATGATAAAAAATATCGATACGGTAAAATTCAGAACAATTTTCCAATTAAAAGATGGTTTTCCAGGATGACTTACACGGATCGCAGACACATCACTACAATCATTAGAATGCGCACGGGTCACTGTCTAACAAGCGAATTTTTGTATAGGATTGATATCAAGGATAGTCCTTTGTGTGAGTGCGGTCAAATTGAGGATCTCAATCACATATTTTTTGAGTGCCCTATAAATTTTATCGGGATTTTAAATTTGTATAAGGAACTTGTCAATTTGAATTACAGTGCACCATTATCTATTGAAACAATTTTATATAGGCCTTGCAAAGAGTCAATCAAGCTACTGGTTGATTTTCTTAAATATAATAAAATCAAGCTATGATGCTCAATTGTGATCCTTTGTTCATTCCAATTTCCATTGTCTACGTATTGAATGTGTTCCATAATACCTTTGTTGTGTTGTTTACTAATATTTGCCCTCATCTCAATGTATATAGTAAAGAGATTTAAGTGTTAGCTAAAGTCTTAGTTAAATTCACAGCCTTTTTAGCAGCTCAGAAAGGACAAACAAACTAGGTGGTCACGAAATGGCTTAGAGCCAGACAAGTCGTGGTCACTACCAAATGGTGCTGGCAACTGCCTAGTAGCAACGCCATAAACAATCAAGGAAGAAGAAGAAGAAGAACTCTGAGGTAAACTCCTTTGCTATTGGAGTTAGAAGGATGCAGTTTTCGCGAACGCTGGCTACTTTTTTGTCAAACGAAAGATGGCGCCAGCAGATTTGTCATCGCCCTTTTTGTTGTTTAGCTACAAGTTTTTGAAAATGTTGCATTTTGGGCATTGAGGTAGAATAATAAGGAGGCGAAATGAGGAGAAAAAAGTGTATCCACTTTCGCCATATTGTTACTACACTTCTATCTGAGAGTCTGTCACTTTTGTCATAGCAACGCGTCAGAATTGCATCAGGGCTGCAATTTTCATCCGAAGTTTTGTTAAATGCGAAGAAGGGATAGTTTTTAAATTATGAGCCAAACAGTCCGAACATACTTTTTTTCAAATGAGACACCCTATATATTATTAACTCATTGGATAGGTCTGCTTTTGCTGATTTCAATGATATAAAGTTCGATAGGTTTATCTCTAACCAAGTCCCGAGCCAAGTCCCTAACAGTTTTCCAGCAAAAAAAATTGATCTGTTTTTGTCATAAGAATCAATGTGTTAGAAAGAGACCTTTCTCATTTTCCTTACTGATGCAATGTCTTTTTTTGAAACATTGTTTCTTATGACAAAAACAGATATACGTAATAGGCACAAACCTATAGATTTTTATGACATTGAAATCAACAAAAGCAGATCTATCCAATGAGTTATTATTATACAGGGTGTTTCATTTGAAAAAACGTATGGTTGGTTCATAATTTAAAAACTATCACTTCTAGAGAAAAACTGAATTTGCCACTGGAATCTATGTACTTAGAAAGGTCTATAAGAACCAGTTGTCACCTTCTTGATAACTTATAATATGAGAGAACGGAGATACAAGGGGTGTCCAAAAAAGAAAATTTTCCAATTTTTATCTGAAAAACGAAAAGGGCGATGATAATTTTGTTGACGGCATCTTTTGTTTGACAGGAAAGTAGCCAACGTTCGCAAAAACCGCATCGTTCTAACTCCAACAGCAACTGAGATATACCTTATGTACCTACTACCAAAATGGGACACCCTGTATAGTCTGGCTAGCCAAACGGCGAACTCAAAAAGAATTTGCTGCTATGCCAAACTTGACAGAAACAATAATAAACAAGTTGGTGACTTATTTTTTTTTTGCAATATGGGCCGTGAAATGATGGGTGTGGAAATGATGGGTGTGGAAAGGCATGATTATTCAGAGGCATGATTCTATTGGTTAGAGTCTGAACGACAGCACCAGTGGCGTGGTTATTCGTGAAACTCAAGAATTTTTTTCCTAATATTTTTTTGGTTTATTTCCTTGGTGTTTTCGGTGCCACTGAACCCAAAGACATGGTTGTCATCAGGCAGTGTCAGTTGAGGTGTCAGTGAATATTCTTAGGTTACGCCCCACTTTTCTTCCCCCTTTCGTCTCTACCAAGTTACCACTTGCCAAACTATACATGGAGTGCTATTGTTGTTGCCCCCTTGAAGATTGTGGAATTTGGCAGTCGGTGTACACATTTCGGGTCAGCTATCCCCTCGCCTATACCCAAGATCCTTGCCAAGATCAAAATCACTCATACCCGAGCTCATACCACAGAATGGTGTAATTTCTGTGAAGCGGTAGTAATAACGGTAAAAATTTTCGACTTCATTATGATGCCACTAACTTGATATAGCGTTGCTAATGGTAATGGCATGAGTCATTGACAATAATTTAGATCTCGACCTATAGTACGTGGGTACTGAAATCATGAAATCCGTGTGAATGTAGTAAAATCACATTTACTCTTGTGAAATCAATGTAAATCAGGGAAATCAATGAAATTTTCAAAATCAAGTGAAATCAGCAAAATCAAGTAAAATCAAATATTATCTGAGGATGGAATGGAATCTGCTCAGAATTTTACGTAGAATCCAAATATGCAATTACATACAGGGTGTTTTTGGAAAAACAAAGTTGGTCTGGATAGCAAACAAACCAGAAATGACAGAAACAATTTGTCCAGGTAGAAATGTGGGAAATAATTTAATAAGCAACTTTCATCAAGGTCACTTTTTCGTATACGAAGTAATTAAAAAGTTACAAGTATTATGCGCGACTTTTTTGCCACTCTGTATTATAGAGTGAGATGCATCGTTATAAAGTTAAAAATGTGTATCGCTTTATAAAACTTACACATGCTATGGTAGGAATCAGTGAAAATAATTCTGCTAAAGGGGTATAGTCAAATTTAGATTTTATGAGTCGAAAGAGAAAGTCAAGATTAGGAAACCATTTCACATTATTCTCAAGAGCTTGTTTTATGTCCTGATTTTTCCGCGACTCACTTAAATTAAACCCAATCTGACATGGAATTGAATTCCTTATGAAACAAAACTGAATAAGGAAGACTTTGAGTACAGATAGTTAATAAACTTAAAATGTATAGCTACATTTACTAAATGAACCATTGCAAAACTAGAAGCTAGAAGAGATTTCCAATGGTTTAAAATTTTTTTGCACTCAATCCAAAAAACAAAACTCATACCTAAATTATACTTGTGAACCAAAAAAAAACAAAGCAAAAAATCATTTTCTTAGTGATCTCACTACTATGAATCATTTTCTACCATTGTTTTGTTACAGCTGAAAAGTCTCCTGCAGCCCAGTCTAGCCAGCTTCTCAAAAAGGGTCATTAACATGTACGAGTCGTTGAACGATTCCTACGTTGCTGTTCAGACAGCCTTTAGAAATGAAAAGGTCCACTTTACTGGGGTAATTCGATAAAAAGACAATTTTAGAATTTAGCCATTTGGATAAGTTAGAGATTTCAAGCCGAACACATTCTTGGTTTTAGTGATTTTACACTAAATCCATTATTTTTAATGTCGTGACTGTGACTGAATAGGACTTGGCAAGGCGCGTAACGGCCCTGAACTTTTGGATCTTTGTTCTCCTATATTTTCGCTTTTGGCTGGTATTTTTGTTCCGACTGCTTTACGCAGTTAGAAATGTCCCTGACAAATTACTGGTAGGAAATGTATCGAAAACAATTTAAATATATTTTGAAAAACTTGAATTGATATTTTTATTGCATATACGAATATCTATATAGAAATTTCAGATTCTACGCACAAATTTTAGGTTTTACCTCGGGTTTTACGCAGAATAGTGACAGAACGGTTTCCTGCTGTGTTGAAACAAAACAAAGCTATAGAAAAATTTCCAAAATAAAAATATTGATTTTCTCCTAGCTTCATAATAATCCAGATAAACCCCGAGAGATAAATCCTACAGGGAAATTTACATGTTTTTTTTTACCCTAACTACTACCTCTTTGGATGGATGGATAAAAGCAACATTAAAAAAAAACCTGCATGGGTGAGGTTGAAGACCCCCAAGAAAATCTTCATTGTTGGAGCAAAGTGAAGAAACCAACTCCAAAAACAAAATACGTTTCTAAAAAACCCAAACGCGTATTTCTCTCGTAATCTCCCCATTGCCATGGCTATGACCCTACTTCCAGCCCCCTAACTGGCAAAGCAAAATCAATACCTGTTGATCCAGCATGCAAATAATAAAAGTTCGGGCGATACTTTACTCAACAAATCTCGTTTAACCTTTCACACAACAGCAAATGGCAATTACAAGCTTGTATTCGAATATAACTTACGCACATGGATTATGCAGGAAGTAAGCAACTTATTATTACAATTATAAGTCACGTTGGGTTCGAAATGTTGAAGGTAAACATCTTTGTGGCTGGGAATGTATCCCTTTTGCGTTTGTTTCAGAAGCAATTAATTGAGACTTTTGAGTAACTTTACTTTTAAGTTAGGTACCTACAAATTTTTAGTTGTTTTTGAAGATTAAGACCACTACAAGATTCAGATGACGTTCATTATTGATTTTGTAATTTTCCTATTTATTATGCAATAAACATTCACGTGCCTTCAATGAAAATCGAGTTCATATCTTATTGATTATAAACTTGGATTTGTCTAAAAATACTTACCTCATAAACATTTGGATGCCAGACTTTTGTTAAAAACCTTATAGATGGTGGTGAATATGGATAATCTGTTGGAAACTTCATTCTAGCCTGGAAAATAAAATAAAACACATATTAAATTTTTGCTTTTGCATGATTCATGATTATTGTCATTAATTAAACTATAAAAATACTAAGGATAGCTAAAATACCTGAAAAAATACCTAATTACCTATAGGATTAATTTAGTTAATATTATACAATATCCTAGCTTGTATAGGTACATTGATTGAGATTTAATTCAATTACCCCAAGGCTTGAGCATAGAGCCTAAGATTGATTAACATAATTCAGAAAATCGGAAATCTATTGCCACGTGCTTAAAAAATATAAGAAAGATCAATTTCAAATAATTGTGGAAAATATTATGTTTTCTTCCAAATTACTACAATCAAAAGTTTCTTCATTGTTTTTGATTCTCAAAAATGAAAGTGTATTGACTTCAATTTTTTAATGTTGTTTTAGTTGTTTGTGACCCTTTCGGGACTTTGGCTTTGTTTTCTCCTATTTTTTTTTGGCAATCGTGAACTCCTATTTGTTTATTGATTAAATCGACAATAAAGACCTGCTAGTGCAAACAATGAAATTTTTTTCGATGAATGAGAAATTTGAATTTGAATCCCCAGACGATTAATGACCTGAGTTTTGGAATCAAGATTTCTACTTTTTTGTAATATTTAATTAATTTATTTCAATATTATTATTACAGACTTGTTACATTGATTTTTTTTACGTTGTTAAACATTAGAAAAAAGTTAATTATAACTACAACCACCACAGTTTTGGTAAAATTGTATAATATAATACAGAAGAAATCACTTATAATGTACTTGTGATAGATAGACAGATAAGCGACTGCCCGTTTTGGAGACACTCAATTTTAGGTTTTTTGCAAGTCTGTGGCTGTCCAATGTGTTTGTTGCAGTATTTTTTTCATTGTCTTTCCCATCTAACAATGTATCTGTAATTTTTTTGTCTAGCTCACTCAGGCTGGCATATTCATATCGGGATTTCTTTGTCCCTTGTAGCAGTTTTGCCAGAAACCATAAGATCTTTAGTTTTATAAATTATTGCTTAATTTGAATGGGGTTTTTTTGAATTAATGAATTACTGCAATATAATAAGTTTGAGACCTGGTGCGAGATTGTTGGAGCAACATTGAAAGGCAGCGGTATTGGCATAAGATCTAATGTATAGTGTTTTTACGAATTTTTATTGATTGGCTTGAATATGTACTCAACTTGGGTTCAGTTTTTTATACAGGGTGGTCCATTTAACTTAAGACAGTCTTATATCTGGAAAACAGCGCGTTTTTAGTGCTACCCGAGGTGCTACCGTTTTCGCTCTCCCATGACACCATTGGTTTAACTTCTAGTTGAACTTTTTTTTTTCAAAACACGCCATTTCCGAGATACTAGACTGTCTCCAGTTAAATGGACCACCCTGTATAATAGGAAAGCCAAAAATGTTTGTGAAAAACATAAAAATACAATCCACATAATACCTAAAAAACAACGGTTTAAAATAAAAATACAGAGTCATCATAAAAATAAAGAACAAACAATGGTTTAAAATAAAAATACAGAGTCATCATAAAAATAAAGAACATGGGAGAAATTAGTCACAAAGACAAATATGGAACAATGGAACAACAACCAAGCAGTGACCCAAGATAGTGAAAATTCTTCAATGCCATAAAAATCCCGCACAATCAATAATGTCCCTAGGCATTTACGGAAAAACCTATCATTGTCTAAGGGAAAGTGATAAATGAAAATGATTGAAATTTTTTTTTTACCATTTAAATTAGTGACTTCTTTGTCTCTGCACTGTAAGACATACGGCATAGACAAAGCAATTATTACACTGAATGAGAATATTAAAACCCATAAAGTAAAGAAAACCTATTATGAGATCAAACATATAAATTATTGTTTGAAAATAGAGTCTCAATCACAAACAATACATAGATACCTTTAAGAAACTTATAGATGTGGTAAACTCGAGGGTAAACTTATGTAAACACAGGAGTGCGAAAACACTAATGCCCAGACTAATACTAATAATATGATAAAGTGGATCACTTGACAATTTTTCTAAGAGGAAAAAATAAAACCTACATTAGAAAAATATTAAAACCAATTCGAAAAAATAGTTCCATGGCTCAAAGAGACCTGTGTTCAAATTATATTTGTAAAAAACACCAAGTCGTGGTAGGGTGTTTTTTTCACAAATATAATATTAAAACCAAGTTGAAAAAAATTGTATAAAAAAAAAGACAAATATGAATGTAATGTAATTCAATGACGGCAGAGAGTGTTAAGTACAGTGGAAATCATTGCAATTGGCACACACTATGTAAATATCCCTCGTAATGTGTCAAATCTGACACACAATAATAGCAAAATGCTGCACTAAATAGATTTATTGGTTAGAATTTTGACAATACGGGGGATTTTAAAGAGTGTGTGCCAATTGCAATGATTCCGACTGTACCTAGTATAGACTAAATCACGATAGAAAGTGAAGTTGACAGTTCGCGTTGACATTTTTAGTAAACTTTTTCTTTAGGTTGTCAGCATGCGTTAGCGCTTCGATTCCGTCAGCTGGGATAAACGACAGGGTCGTATTTAGAAAAGTGATATACATTTCAGAATAAAAATTTATTTTCAATTTCTTTAAAGGAAGTTAAGTTATTAAAATCCAAAAATCCAAAAATTAGAGTCTAAAGTAAACTTTTATAAAAAGAGTAAACACTTAAATCCAAACTAAAACAAGGTTTGAAACGCAACACCGAAACACAAAGGCACAGAACACTACATAAAAAACCAAAAAACCGATTGCGATAATAACAAATAAAAAAATAATGCAGAAAACGGCAAAAAACTGAAAGATTTCACACAAAAATTCGAAATTCAAAATTCAAAGACCCGAATCTGATATTTTTATGTGTCAAATCAAAATGTCATGTATCATTATTTGATAGTTGTCAGAAAAAGGGACAGATCTGGGGATTTTATTTATTTTCAACTGGTGAAAATAACGGTCAAAATTCAAACTCTATCGTGAATACGACTATACCTGGGATTAATTTTAGATGAAAACTTGAGCTGGTCTGAGAACACATTAAACCAGTAACACAAAAAACAACATTGCTCAATGCATATTTTGCATCACACTTGGAATAACTACTCGAATAACTAACTACCTAATTGTTTGTGTCAGTGTCTATTTTAGCAGGACGAATTTGATACCAAATAAAATACTCAAAATTCTTTTTGAAATTGACTGGCTTGTACTCATACAGGACCGATACAGGGATCTTGGTTTATTTCAGCTGTTTTTAAATCTGGTTTAATTTATAAAATACCAAATTTAAACACAAAATGTAATACACAAATTATGTTTACAAGCAACGTACATAATTATACTGGCAATTATAATACTAAATAGGTCTTGTTACAATCTTTATCAGTGCAATGTAAATACTAACAAAGGTTTAAATAATCCCATTTTATGCTCTTCTGGTAGTTTTAATGATTTACCCAAGGATTTACCTGAGGATTTACCGAGGGATTTACCAAATGCAATCAAAAATCTGAGGGGTCAACTACTATGCTCACAAATGTACAATGATTTCCATATTTGGCAATCACATGTATTTCCATCCCAAGAATTGCAAGTGACTGCCAATGATTTTCAGATATTTTTGTATGATTACCAGGGGATTTCCATTTTTCTGGGGATTCCTATATCATCACTAATTGATTACCTGATTTCCTCGATGATTTCCTACAATCATCCGATTTCCAGCTGCATAGTCTGAATCTAAAATAATGGATATTTCTTTGATCTCACTAGGATATTCATCTGAATTAGAGACATCTTCAGTTAGGGTTTCACTCACACAAACTTATTTCTGATTCAGATGTGCTATCGTCTCTGCCTGCTTCTCGCACTGCCTAGTATTTATTCTACTTTTCCCCTTCCCTTTTCAAGTTCTTATTCCCTTGTATTTCCGACTTTCTCAGGGATATTCCCATAGCTCTTAATACTCGAGCGACAAACGTCCCTGCTTCTCTGAAAAGAACCAAATTAACGTTGAGACGTGAGTAATTTCTAAATTGTAGCAAATCGCAATTGCTGAACCATGATGCGTGAAGAAATTCTGTGTCTTCTTTTGGCAAGTCGGATTTGAGAGATGTTTCAAGATTCATGTTTTCGTTTTTATGCTCTACAACATTGTCATACTTTAGGTATGTTCTCACAGAAATCGCAAACCAGTCAGAGAGAATTTCATTGGTTGAAAATAGTTAGAAAACTGGTTGTTGGCGATTTGCACCAATCAAAAACGCTCTGACTGGTTTGTGATTTCTGTGAGAATAGACCTAATCTTCATCTCGTTCTTCTTCTCATTCAAGTTCTAAACTCTTTGTAGTCTCGGGTTCAGTAATTGGCTAAGTTATTGGGAAACTCGTTGGCCAGCACAACTCTGTTCCAACCATAATGAGAACCGTTCCAGAACTAGTAGTTTCCAGTTGCCTACCTATTTTTCAATAAGTTGAACGTTTATTCTACTTGACGAATGAATTGAGTGACTAGAAATTACCGTTCTAGAATGATTCTCATGTCGGTTGGAACAGAGATGTTGCCTTAAACTTAGTCTTATAGGCAAATACACAACTGAGCGGTACGCTGTATCATTTAAAATATATGATATGCGATTTCTGGGTTAGAATGAGATGATATTCCTAGCGATTGCCACATGATTCTCAGTGATTCCCAATAGATTCCTATGTTATTCCCACGAAGTCCTAGGAGATTCCTAGGTTATTCCCAGGGACTCCAGAGTGATTTTATCACTATATTATGATTCCCAAAAAAATGTAAAATGATTTCCACTATTGGTTTACCCCTGGCAAAAATCATAACTTTAAAATTAAAAAGGCATCTAGAAAATAAGACAGTTTAGGTTAAATATTAATGAAGTAGGTATTAAGTATTATAAAAAAAAACTTTTTAGAAAATTAAGATTAAGTCAGTCAAGTTTA